TAATGATGTTGAAAGTAAATTTGATACTAGTGAATTTGACAAAAATCATCCAGCTGTTCAAATTTAAGTTAGGTGCGAATAAAAAAGTAGGAATGTTTAAAAATGAAGCTGGAGGGGCACAAATTGAAGAGTTTATAGGACTCAGATCTAAATTGTATTCATACAAAGTACATGGAGAAGATAAGAAAAAATGTAAAGGATTAAAAAGAAATGTAATTAAAAAATGTATAACACGTGAAGATTACAAAGACTGCCTTATGAATAGAAAAGATTAAATGAGAAAAATGAATGTCATAAGATCTCATTTACATGAAGTTTATACAGAAGAAATAAACAAAATAGCATTGAGCGCAGAAGATGAAAAAGAATTATTTTAGAAGATGGAACTCATACATTAGCGTATGGACATTATAAATTAATTATAAAAAAAGAGACCCAACTTTTCATTTCAGATTGATTGGAAAGAAAGTGATAGTATTGACATAGTAAAACCCAACTTTTCATTTCAGATTGATTGGAAATAAATAGGCACAGGCAGGCAGGCACAATAAGATAAAAAATAGGTAAGTAATTTTTAAAAATTATTTAAAATAATTTTAAAACTATTAATAAAAATGGAAAAACTAATCAATCGGAAAGAATCATATTACCAAATGAACCACTAACAAACTTTCAATTAATAAAAGTAGCAAAAAAATTAAAAATAAAAAATTTTAGAGGTGTATTTGTAAGAGATGAATTACCAAAAAATACACAAAAATAGGAATGTCGAATATTAAATACTGGAGTTTCAAGTACGAATGGATTTCATTGGATTTACTGGTACAAAGATGGAGATAAGAAACTAAATTTTAACTCTTATGGACTGCCACCTCCAGCTGAACTCGTTAGTTACTTACACAGCCCTGTTTACAATAACACTGAACAAGTTCAGTTAGGAGATACTTCCTATTGCGGACATTTGTGTCTCTATGTTTTAAAAAAACTGAATGATGGAAATGAATTTCAAAGCATCATCAATTCACTTTGGTAAAAACAATATAAATAAAAATAATGAGTATATAAAATGAGTATCGATATATTTGGTGGTAGTTCACTTAATAGTATAACTGCTTTTGGTAGCACATCAGGTGGCAGTTTAAATCTTAATATTAATATAGACAATAAAGCGACATCAGACGTTGATCTCAATACACATAAACTCATTAATGTTGTTGATCCAACTAACCCTCAAGATGTTGCTACAAAGCATTATGAAGATAATAATCAAACTCCTAGTAATTTATATATCAGAACTGATGGACAAAATAGTGCGACTGCTGAGATTAATCTAAATACGCATAAACTCATCAATGTAGCTGATTCTACTAATGCACAAGACGCTGCTACAAAGCATTATGTTGATAATAATCAAACTTCTAGTAGTATGTATCTAAGAACTAATGGTTATTATCCTGCCATTGCTAACATTAATTTAAATACCAATAAACTCATCAATGTAGCTGATCTTACTCAACCTCAAGATGCTGTTACAAAGAGCTACGTTGATAATATACAAAATCAAAGTTTAGATATCATTCCGAAAACAAGTTTGACATGCTTTGGACAAAAATCTCAAGCATTCTATGCAACTCCAGGATCATACACTATTTTTAGCTATAGTGGTAGTTCTGGAATTCTAAGAAAACTGTGGATTGCACTTACAGGATCTACAATTGCACCTAATACTGTACCAGGTACGGTATTTTTAAAAATATATGCTGATAATGTACTTTGCATAGGTAATGATTCTATTGTAACAGATGGTGTAGGTATTAACAATACAACTTTAACTTGTGATTTATTATTTGCACCACTTGGTGGACCCTATTATGCAAACTCTTTAAAAGGATGTAATGTATCTAGTACTAGTGCATTAGGAGGATATTTTACATTCGATCTCCCTTTTACATCAAGTTTGTATATACAATTATACAATAAAACAGGCAATTCAGTGACCTTTTGGTTACAACTTTTTATCACAAGAACTTTATCGTTGTAACAAACATTAACTAGAATTAATCCGCTAATACCTCGATCCATTTCACCCATTAAGTTGTACTCATCAACATTTAGATATGTAAATACAACTTATGGTAGTGAATATATGTTGATAAACGCTGTGGGTAATGGAAACGGGTATTGTATTTAAAATATATTAGAATGCATGTCATTGGAGGATCTGGAAACTGGTGGGAATCCAGAGTACGTTTATACGATGGATATGGTGCCCCTACCAATACTAACTCTTTCATTCAACCTTGGACAGTCTATAATAATAATGGATATACTACATTTTCTGGATATGATGTTAACAGTCGATGTATCTACGCTTCAGCAGGTTTAGAAGATTTTTATCTCTCTTCACAGAATGGCTCGAATGTAAGCTCATTTAATAATGAAGCAGCAGGATTACTTTATCAATCTAATAGTACAATTGGTCCGACAACTACAATTTCATTTTATAGAAACTTTGATTCATCTGAAGGTATGCCTAGCGTTGGTAGTGGAAGAAGAATGGTAGTGACACTCAACTCTGGTGACGCAATCTGGAAGCTTTTCTGCATTAATAGGACAATGCTAATATTATGCTTTAAAATTGGAGCATGCGAAGTCACGTGACCGATAACGTCACACAAAAAAATCCGCGACGACAAGAAACGAATTTAGCACTAATTTGAAAACTAATTTTTAAATTTAAAAAAGTTGATTTAAAAATTGATTTCTTAATTATTCAATTTATACACACTATGGATGACATTGCACCATGTATTTAGTTTAATTTATGGTTGAATAAATGGTTGAAAATGAAAATGAGCCAGAACCGGCAGTTTATCTACTATAGAGGATTTTAAAGGATTTTTTTTACAGGTTTATTGTTCATGTTTCCACATAATTGGGTGTGGACAAGGGTCAACAATGTCATTTTTTATGTTAGATGGTATGGATTTTCTAAAATTGATTTTTTAAAACCCAATTCTCATTTCAGACATTAACCAGTTTTACAGAACATGAATTTTAAACATTATGCTGCCATCAAGAAATTAAAAAATAAAAATAAGGAGTTAAAGAGGAGATTTTATCACACTTTTAACTTTTTAAAGGACAATAAAGGATTCTAGAGGAGTTTTTTAAAAAAGAAAAGTCTTTAGAGGGTTTTAGAGGAGTTGAGGCCACCCTGCATCCTTTAAATTAAACATTGATTAGTTAGTTTTAAACTTTTATACTTACTTTTACTTGAAGTTTATAATCCAAAATAAAAATAATATTTACATGTGGTTGATGTGTATTGCGACAATATTTCTGCCCTTCAACCACATGTTGCTTTTTTTGTTTTTTTTTTACATATATACATATATACATTTATATTTTATATGTGCATATATACATTGTATATACATTTATTGTTTGTTATGTTTACATTTTTGTATGTTTCTAAACGAATTCCAAAACTATATATTTCACATGTATGTGACATATATATGCTGTATGTATTATGTTACCATATAAATAAATCATCAAAAAATATTTACTTATCTTTCTTTTATATATATATATATATATATATATATATATATATATATATATATATATATATATATATATATATATATATATATATATATATATATTATTTAATTATAATAAAAAAAATTAAATACTTATTATTACTATAATACAACAATTTATGCAAGACTTGCATAAACTATGACGATTATTCATTAAATAGACTAAAACTTATTTTGTTCATTTTATATTCTGTACGCTTAGGTTACTGAACCGAACAAGCTCTCGAATCCGTTCACCAGGATTTCAATTAGTTTAGTAGAATGATAAAAGTTAGAGAACACAGCTCAAACAATATTAAAGCGCTAAAAAACGCAGTTGCTGCTTACAACTAAAACATTTTAAAATAGCTTTCAATTTGCAGGTGGCTTGTAAAAAGTATAATATTAACCTCTCATGAACAATTGTTTAAAAAAATTTCCTAATAAATGATTTGATGATATCTGACATGAAAAGTATAAATAATAATTTAACCACATAGACCAGAAATTTTTTTACGGCGATAAGTTAGTTGTAGTTAACCCTATTGGATCTCTAATACACCACCCCTAGTGTATGGTTCCTTAAAGGAATTTTTCAAATTTTTTTGTGTTATGTTAAACTAGATCAAAATTCATTGACGGATTTTAAATTTCATCAAAAAAAATTTCTAGCTTAAAAGTTACGACAATTCAAAGTTATTTCAGGGGGTAAATTTGTAGAATTTTAAACTTGTTATGGTCATAAATCTTAAACGAAAAGATATTTTTGAAATAAATCTTAAACGAAAAGATATTAAAAGATTTTATGAAACTTGAAATCTGATTTCTCCCTAGGCCCCCGGTGAAAAGAAGTTGTTTTTTATATTTTCAAAATAAGGAAGAGTCTTCCAGTAATCAGGGCCGTCCCGAAGCGGTCTTCAATGGGTGAAGGGGGGGGTGTATGTATTTTTTTGCCAACTAGAAACACCAAAAAAAAAAAGTTCTCAATATTTGCAATTTGCCAACTACAGTTCAAAACTTGCTCAATGTGCCAACTCAAATGCTTAAATGACAGCTTTGGGGGAGGGGGGGAACACCCCGACACTCCCTCCCCCTTTCGGGATGGCCCTGCTATAATAAACAAAAAAAAATTTCTGGGGATCGGTTCCAAAGTCTCAGAACATGTTCCAATTCACCGTGAATGGAAATACGTTGTGGTCAGCAAAATATCTTACAGACTTTATAGGATTATAAAATCATCTTAACAACACCAAGAACCTTCAAATGTGTAGTTTTTTTTTTTTCTAGCTACAATGCTACGATATATCGTAGAATATTTTTCTAGTTACAAAATAAAGTAGAAGAAAAAAAAAGAAAAAAAAAAACCCTTTAAAAATTTAATTTTCACTGCAGTGCGGTGCACATAACACGGTTTTTTTTTTCTGAAAAAGTGACGCAATTGTTTGTGTGATCGATTAACTGCAGAGTTTCTGAGCAAATTCAAAATGGCTCCGACAGTAGGAAGGTTCAATTTGACTACAGTTTCTGACAGTTTAAATAGCGTTGAAGCCGCCAAAACGCATTCTCATTCTGTTGTTAGAGACTATATCTCGCAACCCAGATTGAGTAAGATATTTATTGATTTTGAAAAATTAAATTAGTTTTTAAATAGTATTGTTTTTAAATAAGTTTTTGAACAAGTAATATTGACAAATGATAAAACTTAATAAAAAAAGTATTTAATGTAGCTTTATTGTAGTTGATATAGTAAAAAAATATTTTTTTAATTTATATTCTGAAATTATCCTTTTTTTTTTAAGATTACAAGACTGTATCTGGTGTGAATGGACCTTTAGTTATCTTAGATCAAGTCAAGGTTAAATATATATAATATATATATATATATATATATATATATATATATATATATATATATATATATATATATATATATATATATATATATATATATATATATATATATATATATATATAACATGTGAAGTTTCTAGTAATAGTAATTCTAGTAGTATACTATAACTAGGGTTATTGTATGTAGTTAAAGGTAATATAAAGTTTCTTTTTAAAAGTAGAAACTTAAATCATTCATCAATCATATAATGTCCAGCTTTTTTTGAAAATCAGCTGCCTTGCTGAAGTTCGTTTTAACACAGTTAGTAATAGATAATTAAAATGTGATAGAAACACAACTAAAGCTTATAAATAACTCTTAACTTCTAATTTATAATAAATAAATAAAAATTACAATTTTTCAAACAAAGATTTTGCAAATATTGTTTTTTTTTTTTTTTTTTTTTAAATATAATATCAGAGATTAAAAGTTAAATTAAAAAGTTAAATAAAAATCTTTATGCAACAATTTAATTGTAAATTTTAAAAGGAAATTTTCTACAGTTTTAATGCTAAATGTTAAATTCAATCTTTTTTCTTTTTATTAGATAGATGCTGATTCATTTGAAAGTTATTAGAGATGTAGTTAATCTTAATATATTGCAATGTATGTGTTTTTAGTTTCCTAAGTTTGCAGAAATTGTTACATTGACTCTGTCAGATGGTTCAAAGCGCAGCGGCCAAGTTCTAGAAGTTAGTGGATCTAAAGCAGTTGTACAAGTAAGTTTATTACTTGATTTTAATTATAGGAATCAATACAAAAGCAAGAGTTTGTTGGATGTTTAAATTGATTTTATTGTTAGAATTTTTTTAAAAGAGCAAAGTATTTAGAAAAAATAAATTAATGAGATACATACATATTATATATATGTGTATATATATATATATATATATATATATATATATATATATATATATATATATATATATATATATATATATATATATATATATAAGATAAAAATGAAAAAGTAAAAACTTTTATTATGGAACTTTAAGTTTCATGCCTAATGGCAATCATCAGCCATATATTACAAAACTAAACATTAAACGTTAAAGTTGCAATTACAATTACAATGACGTGAGTTTTAATGACTCCATAGAAACAATATACATATATATATATATATATATATATATATATATATATATATATATATATATATATATATATATATATATACAGAGCCTATTCTAGGAATAAAATTTGGGCGGCTGTACCCCCTTACTTCGGCAAACTTTAGTGGAAAAATGGCATTGTTTTCGCGAAAAAAAAATATTTGTTGTAATAACGTAAAAAAATGTAAAAAAAAGTTCCTCTAAATTTAATTCTGGCAGTGCCCAAATACGGTTGACGCTATCGAAAAAAGTCTAGAATAGCCCCTGATATATATATATATATATATATATATATATATATATATATATATATATATATACACACACACACACAATTTAACAGTCGGGCATTGGACATTGTCCAGTTAAAACCCAGATTGTCTGATCATTTTAAAAAGTAATCAGACATTTTGACCAATGGGAATTTTTATTGAAATAACTAAAGAATAAACAAAATGATTGCTTAAGATTGCTTTTTGGGTAATTCCATGTCAAATCAATAGAAAAAACAAAAAATAACACCCCATGTTTTAGATTTTGCTGATTTTTTGATATGTTATAGGGTTTATGAAAATCAAGAAAATATGAAATTTGGAACCTCCAACCCTATACGGTTCTTGAGATATTCAGGATTCAATTTTCTTTTACAAAATACTTTTTTGTTGTTAAATAGCAATATTTTATGAACCAAATGAGGTATCATCCTGAAATTTTGACAATCATCCACATGGCGGATACAAATTTTATTTTGAAAATTTTTCAAAATGGTGATGTCACCTTGATAATTTTTTTTTGAGGCATTGTTATAACTTACAATATAGGTATTAAACATCCCTATTAATAAAAAATATATTACTGCATTTTTCAACTTTTCTAAATGCAGCCTTTTAAGTAAAGCTTATATATATGCTGAGTCAGCATAAAATTTATTGCCAACTTAATTATGACAAAGTGAGCTATATCTGAACTTTATGTTGTAAAAAGATATTGTTAAAGACTTTTTGAGGGCAATAATAAATTTATACTTAATTTATTTATTTTTTTGTAGCTGGGGAGAGCATATGGTCTAAAGGGGAGGGGGAAACTAAGCATTTTACCGATCCCCCTTCTTTTTTTTTAATTTATTTATTTGTTAAATAGATAAAGATAAGTGACTAGGAGAATTTTGTAGCCAAATCATAAGTAGATTTGAAAAAATAACATACAAATATAAAAATAGTAATGCGTTAGAAATTTTTCTATAAATCTTTATTATTTTTCTCAATAATTTTTCTAACTTAGTTTTTGAAATTTTGTATATGCGACCATTTGTTATAGATAACGGATCATTGGTACATATAACATGATTTGATGGGACCCAGCACATGTCTTCCCATGCGGGCCAAAAAAATATTTGGCTGGGACCATGTGGATGCATAAATTGAATTTTATAATCTCCTCCTCCTCCCATCTTTTTTGGTTAAAATTCCAATCCACCAAAAATTGTCATAATTGCAAGTTAAAAAATCCATATGATTATAAATAACCTGCTGCACAACCAGCTCTGGTATATGCACAAGGTTATATGGTATATGCACAAGGTTAAATCTCTGAAAATCAGTTTGTTGACTCATCCTTTTAAAGTCTTCATTGTGATGGCAAAGATAATAAAGCTCTTAAAGTTTTTATACTGTGCTGCACATCCATTAATGAAATATTTAATATTACTAATTTGTAGAATGTTTGCTTTTATATAATTGATAATGAGTTGTTGTATTATATATACAAAGTATATATCATGCTTAACATCGTCAGAAAGAAAGCAAAATGACTTATATATCAATTTCCATTTGATTTGTAGTATATAATAATAGGATGAAGTGTACATTTTGGTTTATTCCAGTGGTAACTTTGCACTTCATCCTGAACAATAAATTAAAAGTTCTCTGCAAAGTCACCTAATATTATATACTTATTGTGATTTAAAAACTCTTTACAGTCTTTAAGGTACTTGGCCTGACTTTTAGCTATAAATGAATGAGATGTAAGTTTATCTATTTTATTGCATATAAGATCAATAACATCTTCTATATTGATTTTTTGATTGATCAACGTAGTTCTATTAGTACCTTAACATTGGTCAATTGTTATTTCTTTATCACTGTTGTCAAATTTTCCTGTTAAGAATTCTTTTAAAACAGTAATACCAGGACAAAGTAGACATTGATGTAACATGCACTCTAGATTATCCTGATTGCAAATAATCATTCCCATTTAATCTCTATAGTCTTTGTCAATTTTAAGAACATCAGTTAACAACTTAACATTCTGATGATAGATACAGACACAAACACTGTGGGTGCCAGACGAGTTTGTGGTTACACACCATCTTGGGGGAAGGCTGCAAAAATTCGAAAATCCATCATTTAAATTATAGTGTTCAAATTTAAATGCTACATGAAGTTCTTTTAAATTTTATGCTTGTTACAAGCATATGCTCGTAACAAGCATAAAATCAATTTTTGTATTTAATAAGCAATTTTTTTATAAACAAACAAATAGCTCGAGCAAAAACTAAAAGCTCTTGTAAAAAGCTGTTTAGAGAAGCAGTTCGCAAGGCTTGCCATTTTCATTTTAGGAGAGCTTTTCTCTGCTTTCAAATTTATCCATTTCCACTGAGATCTGCTTAATAATGAATAAACATTTTTTTATTTTTGTAAAATAAAATTGATATTTAATTTTAAATGAGCTGATTGTCTAGTGCATTAAAAAAAGAATATCGCTTCAACCTATCAACTTGAAAAACTTATTTAATTTAAAAAATATTAATAAATTTTGCTGTTTTAAAAAAATTTGTTATAAATATAAAATAATAATTGTAAATGAAGCCTATTTTGCATGGGCTTTATTTCCCCCATATAAACTTACCCAGGTATAGAGGTAGACATGGGGAATCACCTGCCATTCTTGTCAAGACCTGTATAATATATACTTTTTGTTATATTTTTGTTAACTGTAGCTTTCAATACATTATTTATTATGATTGGTTTAAATCAATAACTTCCAAAAACTTATTGTTAGGTCTTTGAAGGTACAAGTGGAATAGATGCAAAAAACACAACATGTGAATTTACTGGAGATATTCTAAAAACTCCAATTTCAGCTGATATGCTTGGTATGTATCAGGCTGGAGGGTCTTAAACCTCCAGTTTATTGTTTTGTTCATTCAAAAAGCTAAATTTTTTAAAGTTAGTACTTTGTTACATTAATATTTTGTTTTTTTACTATCAAATTTAAATTATTTGAGCGTTTAAAACAATTTTTTAATTTACTAAGACTACTTTTTTAAGAAAAAAATTCCACAATTTATTTTACTAATAAAAAACAAAAGGTTCAATGTTATTAATGATTCATGTGCCCATTCACATGGTTCAAAAGGCAACTGGTACGTTTAAAAAAAAATGATATATTAGCATTTTGAATTGTGAAAAACTGTTTTTAAAAATTAAAATTGTTTTTAAATTTTAAATCTTATTTTGAATAAAGAAAATGTGATTCAAAATGTGACTGTAACGTTTACAATTTTTTTTTATAAATTCACCTTTTTAATTGAAAAGAAAATGTGCTTCAAAATGCAACAACAACGTTTTAACAATCATCTTTGAAATGTTTTAAAGTCGCATTTTAAAACATTTTTAATTGCGTGCATGTCTATTTTAATTCAAAATAAAATTAGACGCAATTTCTATTTTAATTTTGAAATGAGTCTGTGTTGCCTGTTATCCAATTTAATGAAGTTATACATTTAGAATTTTTTTTTATTAGATTATACTGTAAAAATACCTAATTACATATGAAACCTAATTACGAAGGATTTTATAAAAAGCTTCATATCTTTTATATTATATCAAATACATTAACACAAGACAAATCAATAAGAAAAATCAATTTATAATTGTTTCAGCTATTAACTTGAAATCTAACAAAATTAAATCTAAGCAAAAAAAAAAAACACTTGAATTCTGAGACAGGTATTTTATTTGTATAAAGTTAATTGTATTATTGCATAATAGAATATGGATCAATTTAAACAAAAAGAAAAGTGAAAGAGTCAAATCCAGCTAGCTACTCAAGTTATTATTGAAAAAAAAAGTCATATGCACAAGTTGCTAAATGTTGTAATGTAGTAAAATCTCTTTTTGATAGAACAAAAGGGTCATCTAATGACTGAGGAGTGCCAAAAAAGATGAGCAGCATTACTGAAGCAGTTATTGCTGATTTGTTAAATTTTATGATATAGTCTTTGGCTTGAATAGAAAAGACGTGTTGACTGTTGATAATTATTTAAAAAAATCAAATCAAACTAGTTTAAAAAAAATAAAATCAATAAAAAACTGGTATAACAGGTATATGCATTAATAATGTATAAAGAAAAATTGTTTTTTATAGCCAAATTTTTTTTTTTAATAACTTTTTTCTATACTTCATCAGCACTTATGCCAAATTATACAGTTTTTCACTGATTTTTTAAAGTAAGATCTTGAATACTATTTATTGTAGACTGGCAAGACTTGTTTTTTCTTCATAAACTCATAGAAATTTAAAAAAGTTGACTATTCAGTAGGGCTGTACCGGATTTCGGCTCCGGCTCCTGCTGCGGCCAAAATCTGGCCATTTTTACAAATCCGGCAAAATTTTAGTCGGAGTTTTGAATTTTGTCAAATATTTATTACATTTTTTTTGCCCGTGTTTACATGTATACCTAATATTTTATTTACAAAAATCAATTTTTTTTGTAATTCTATATTTTATGAACCTCATATTTGTTTTGGTATTTGTATTTATAGTTCTTTATAATTTAATAAGCTTAGTCTAATTTCAAACAACAACGCAACAAAAAATTCTGAAGGAAAGACACACGATATTCTACAATGATGCAGTTATAAAGACTATGATGTCAACCCTAATCAAGTGATTGGATGAGCGTTTTAAAACCATTGAAAAGAAAAACCTCTTTATATACTGACGAGGCTGGTTGACTCACAATTTTAAACTAAATTCTCCTCAATACAGGCAACACTGACAGCTAAAAAAACAAGATTGAAGTCAATCTGAGCATGCTAAACAAAAGATTGACAAAACTGAAGAAAATCCACCAAAATAAGCAGGCTTAATAATTTTTCTACATCATCATCATTACTCTGCCAATTTATTAATAAAATTATTCAGTCTACGTCCGCTGGTGGCAGGGCACATAAACAACAATTACTAAAAGGCATTGAAACTCAGCTAAGGAAATATCCGAAAAAACCAGAAATAAATAGACACAATGATCCACTACAGTGGCAGAGTGACAAAATCCCGGAAAAAAAGTTCAATAGAATTACTATAAACTTTTAAAACATATGACATGTATATATAAAAATATACATACATAAAACATATATATATAGAATTTCTATTAATTTATATATAGAAATTGCTATAAAACTTTTTAAATAACAACAATGAAGTTTAACAGAAAACAGCAGTCACTTGGTATTCTCAATAGTCCACATTGTTGACCATGCTCAACACCAAGTAGGGATGTACAGGATTTTGGCTCCTGTAGTTTTGTTTTGAAATCTGGCTCTGGCTTCGATTTCGGCTGGATCTGTCAGTAGAAATTTAGTAGAAATTTAAAGTAGTATTTGCTAAACTTTACTGCTTTTATCAATGCACTGGAAAGCGAGAAAGTTAATTGCTATTTATTTGTAAATTTTTTTTTTACAAATTTACAATATAAAAAATAAAAGAAACAATTTCAGACATGCAATACATTTATTAAAGAAACTATGTTGTTATTTTATTTAATTTATTCCGTCATTAATAAAATATTTATTAATCAAATATTTTTTTTTACAAATAAATAATTTATTTTCTCATTTCTTATTATATAAGTATTGAGAAAAAACGACAAATATAGTAAGAACTTTTTTTAAGGCGAAAACGAATAAACATAAGAAAGAAAATTAACAAAATATCTTATAGTTCCAGTGTACATAGCAAATTAGTTTCTTAACTATGATAAATAATATGATAATATCAGAACTATGATAATAGTTCTGATAAAACTTGTGAATAAGTTGTATATCAAAACTTTTAATTGTTGTTACGTCGATATAAAAGATAATGTTTTTTTCAACAACGACTCTAAAAAAAAGAATACAAAAGTTGTATAAAGATTTTATGAAATTTTTTTTTTTTTTAATTTACTCTATAATTATTAAATTTTCTAGTTAATTTAATTAAACTTGATATTTTGGTAAAATTTTGTTTCTTTTTTTAAGGATTGTTTTTTTCTAGGTAGATAAGGTTAGCTCTTTGCTACAAATTATTGACGCTTTATAAATAAAAAGATGCAATGTGCTGTGGTCAATTAGTCTAAAAAAATTAATTTAAATGTGGATAAACAAGGCGTGCCACTGCACGTGCCTCCTGGAAAGCCTTGGCTTATGTTGTTTGAACTAAGAATGAATTATAAAAGTTATAAGTGTGTTATATTAGTAATTATATTATAGTGTTATTATAAAGCAGTGACTAGAGTGTTATGACTTTTGTAAGTTTATTGTTTTATTTTGTTTTTATAACTTATTTGCTTACAAATTTAAGTTAATTTGCTTTATGAAAACAAAGTACACGGTTTTGCATAAACTAAAATTTTGAAGACCAGGTTTTTTCAGATATTTTTCTGATCACTTTATTCAACCCTTGAACATTTTCCCACATTCCAATATAAAATATTATTTTTAAACAGTTGGAGACCTTTAGCAACACAACCTTTACTGTTAATTCTTTTATAATCAGAACCATATTTCAGTATGCTGGATTATGTTGAATATGTCTAGGTATATTTCCATTTTAACTCTATAATGCACTCTTTTTTTTTTTAATAAAATTTAAGAACAAAATTAATTTTTTTTTTTTTAATGAAAATCCATTTTTGAACTTTATTTTGACTTAATTTTAATTATTTATTAAAAAAAATTAAAACTTACCCAAATTACTCAAAATATCAATAAAATATCTTGTCTTTAATCCTCTAATATATTTAAATGTGAACATTACAGAAGTATAAAATGCCACATCACTTGATTTATCTTGAGCAATAGCAATATAGCGGGTTAATTACTCTTTGAGCCTGTGCATTAAGTGGTCCACAGTAAACCTTTCTAGATCAATAGAATAAAAAAAATTCTTTCTAAAATTTATGTTTTAAATAAGAAATTAATTAATTGGTAATAAAACTAATGATAAAAAATTGCTTAAAACATGTTATTTGAGATTTTTTATGTTTAAATATGTTGTGATTTGTGATTGTTTCATTTTTAATATTTCATTATACTGTATGCTTTCTAATTTTACCTGATGATTTGTCAATTTTATCAAATAGTATTAGTGACTGTGCAGATGTTAGAGCGCGCAACTTTTGCATTTCTAAATCTCTAACACAAGTAGTCAACTTTCCAGACAATCTAATTCATTTACCTTATATACTCGACTTGTATCTTGTTTCTGTCATATATCCTAGTCAGTACTCAGTTTCTCCATATTCACCCTTAGGTGCTTCTGATCAGGGTTTGATCTCTCTAAAACTATTATCTCATTTTTCTTCATGATCAGAGTCCCTCTTTTATTGTACCTGTTACAACTACCTTAAAGCTGACTGCGACTCCTTTCATGATTTTGTTTGTGACAACCCTTGGATAGAAGTCTTTTGACTTCCTGCTGACAAATGTGCTTCATAAGAAGCTAATACTCACTGATTGTTTGAAGGGGGCATTTGAACTTGAAAAGGATCTCACTTCTGCTACAGCATGGGGCTCTCAGTGACTGGTGAACTATAACTCAGATAAAACTCAATTTTTTTTTCAGCTTGTCGGTATCTCAATAATCTAGATCTAGAACAAACCAGAAGCATTTCTAGATATCACAAATCGTGATCACTAAATTTGAATATTGTACACATATATGTAAAATGTATATACACATAAATATATAAATATTACATGAGTTTTAGTTAAAGTAATATGTTTAATAGATTTTATCAATATTTATTTCAGCCTTGGTAATAAACCTTGCCCTGGTCTAAAATCAACCTAGGACGCTTATTAACAAAGAAAGCTGTTCATGTTTTATTCTATAAACAATAGTATGTAGCCTATAGTATGATGCACTAACAATGTTGGGGTGGTTTGTCAAGCTAAACTAAAATCTTACTATATCTATTTTATATTTCTTATTTTACTTAATGATGTCAATGTTTTTAATAAATCTTTGGGAGTACTATCCTATGATATTAAGTGTCAACAGGGTACTGACAAGTGCATGTAAATGATTCTAGACTAATTGTGACATTAATTTGTCATTTATTCCAGAATAGAAACAAAAATATTTGAAGTAAAAAATGTTTTTATGTAAAATTTTATTTGCTTTAAATGTTTTGGTATATTTTGCTTTATTGTTAACCTGGAAACAATCAAGTTTTCATGTATTTCATTTTTTAAAGATTTTTTTACTTGTAGGTAGAGTGTTTAATGGATCTGGCAAACCAATTGACAAAGGTCCTCCAGTATTAGCTGAAGATTTTTTAGATATCATGGGTAAGTTATTTTAGATCATTTTTTAATTTGTATATATTTAAGTTGTAAATAAAAAATGAATTTTGTTTGATTTAAGATTTGCAATATAAGAATTTATTTTAATAAAGAAGTTTTTTTGCTTTTTGATATCAAACATTGAAATTTTTTAAAAATTAAGACATGATAGTTAAATTGTTTCACATTGAGACAATTTAAATTTCTAAAACTATGCTACTGTTAGTTAAAAATCTTTTTTTTTTGATTATTTTTGATGAATTTGAAAAAATATTATTTTACTGTAGTTGAGGAAGATCTTTTTTTATTAAAGTTTTTTTATTTGTTGGTACAACCCTTATCTCTATCTTTGTAAAACATACCTAGATGAACAAAGCTATTGGATCTGGTGACTTAGAAAATGTATTTTTTAGATATCCATCCTGATAAAAGATAAAATAAGAGATAAGCCTGCATTTCTGGTGCTTAATCTTGGTTTTGTTTTTTATTATTTATGTAATCTTTTTTTGTCATTATTCTGTCAATGAATTTGAGTTTGCCAAAACACCACAAAGGAGTTTAAAACATTTTTACTTCACTTGATAATAAGAGTCCATTGGGAATGTTTCTTAGCTAATGCCCATCTTTTCTTAAAATTCTTTTTACTCAAGAAAGGCTTTTTCAGAGCAATTCAACCTACAATAAATTTTTTTTTTTTCCTTTTTTTTTTCAAACCCATACAACGGAAAAATTAAAATAGGATTATAGAGTAACTTTTTTTTACAAAATTTATATGCACAAATATAAATCGAAGATTTAGTAAAATTTTATTTCTTAGGTCAACCAATAAATCCATGGTCACGTATTTATCCTGAAGAGATGATTCAAACTGGTATTTCTGCAATAGATACAATGAACAGGTATTTTTATTATAACAGGTATATTTATACTTATAAAGCAGTTCTTTTGAAGCAACTTTGTTAAGTGTTAATTTTTTAAGTTGTTTTAATTAAGACAATTTAAGTTTATTGTTATCTTAAACATTTTTAAATGAAATTAAATAAATTTTTTATGCACTATATTAAAATAAAAAATAATAGCAAAACTTATGACCAAGACAAAGGGAAATCACCACATTAAGTATTACTTTTATGATGGTGTTCAGTTATAAGACCATTGGGTCTTATTACAAAAAAAAACCTTTTTTTTGAAAGAACATAAAAAAGGTTGGTTTAAACTTTTCTTACCAACCTGCAATGAGTCTAACCAGAAATTAACTTAATAAACTTTTAATTGACTTTTTTTAACAAATGGAAACTATTGTTTGTTCAAAACATCATTCTTGTTTAGTCAAAAATAATAATATGAACATCATTTTGTTTAGTTAAATATATAATTTATACAATTAAAGCTTATAATTTATGAACACGTTAGCATGCAATTACATTTAAATGTTAAAATTCTGTTGGATAAGTCTTGAGGTTTTGAAGTTGTATCTTGGTTATTTTTATAAATGTTAGAATCACTTAAATTTAATGAAGCATTCATATAAATGTTAGAATTGTTTAAGAATTTAATGAAGCATTGGTTTTGCTTCAAGCACTTTATTGATATTGTTTTGGTTCAAATAATTTTAAATTAGTTTATAAGTGCTGTAGATAAAATGTGCACTTTTATGTAGATAAAAAGGGCGCTCTTATGTAGATAAAATGAGCACGCTTATGAATTCTTAATGTTTAAACCAAAGAAGAGAAACCAAAGAAGAGGGCAACAGTTGCCTCACAACAAAATTGAGTTTTGGTTGATAAAACAAGGTTAGGGTGTTCAATAGATGGCAGGAAAAACAAGAGATGATAGGTTGGGTGTTCAATAGATGGCAGGAAAAATAAGAGATGATAGGTTGGGTGTTCAATAGATAATGATTTAATTTAGAAAAAATGTTTTTACTTATCTTTGGGTGAAGTTATAAAATCAGATCATTGTATAAGAACATTGGCAGAGAACGTTAAGCTTTTGTTAATGATTCTATTAAAGATTTTTTAAGAAAAGTGTCTTGAGTAAAACTTCTAAGAAGAAACATAAAGTTTAGCAATCTGAGAATAATAGTCCTTAACATCAAGCAATACCTTTTTACTTCAACATCTTATGTTATAGTATTAGTTTTTAAAGTTTTACACTGTAATGTTTTGTATCATAAAATCATAAAATACATCATAAAAACAATCATCAGCAACGGTTGTTTTTCTGATATTTATTCAAGCATTGTAATGTTTCCCAGAAAAATTGTTAAAAAGAGTGTTGCATTTGACCAAATTTCTTAACTCTATTTTAATATGTATTTAGATCATTTTTTATTAGAATGGTTGATGATTTTATTTATATTTCTTCCTATTTTTATTTACAAAACTTTCATTCATTACTCTTCTTCTTTAAAAAATTTTTTTTTCTAAGTTGATTAGAGTATAAATCCCAATGAAATAGCTTCAAGTAAGTAGTTATAAGAAAAAGCCTTTGTAATTAAAACTTGAATTAATAAATAGTTTTTGTAGGTTAAATTCAGGCCTTCTCAGGCATATTTTAATATATATTTAGATCATTTTATTGAAATGAGCGTTTTTGCTTATTTACATATTTAAAAAGTTTAAAGCACTGAAATTGCTCAAAGCGAGAAAGCAAATTATAATTATATGAAAAGATTTTTGTGTTTAAAACATAAATAAGTTCAATACTTTTAAATTGTTTTTGTGTCATATAATTCAAATTTAAATGAACAAATTTTTATTACTGTTTATTAAAAAAGATTTAAATTAAGTTTCAAATAAGCGTGTATCTATTATTTTCATTTTTATTAAACTATATTTTAGATACTAAGTTAAAAACGCCACTATATATTTAATTTTTAAAAAGTTTTTGAAAATTTCATTACTTAAATTACACAAACTCACTGTTAAACTTATCTTAGCCTACCAGAAATTAGGCGCAAACATATCATAAAATATTAGAGAATTAACAGGCACTGTTAATTCTCTGATATTTTACAACTATTGATGGAATCAGTCTCTTTGAAAGCCAAGATATAGTTCTGGAAACCTTAATACCAACTGGCCTTAAACCATTAGACAAGTTTAATATTCCCTATAATTTATTTGCAAATTATTGAATATTAAAAGGTTTTATATTAATAAAACTTTTTAATATTATTATTGCTTTTTTTTTTTTGTTTTTTTTTTTTTTGTTTAAAAAAAAGAATTTTTTAAACATTTTTATTTATGATGTATTATTTTCTATGTTATTTGCATAAAACATTAATCTTTTCGGTAATACTATTGTTTTTTTATATTAAGTATTGCTCGTGGACAAAAAATTCCAATATTTTCTGCTGCTGGTCTACCACATAATGATGTAAGTTTGAAAAATTTTTGTATTTTTAAATACTTTTAGTTTCTTTAATTTTTTTTTTGCTCATTTTAAAAATAACTGTTAGCCAGCCATTTTTTACTATTCGTTAACTATTTAAAAAAGCATTTATATTGCAGTTATATATATTATATTCTTAGTAATACTTTTATTTTATTTTTATTAGATTTTTTTTTTATTTATATCATTTTTATACTGGTTAAGCTGTTTTGTAAATTTAAAAGGACATTATTGCAATCAAACTTTGACTTTGAGTTATTTGCAATCAAACTTAGGCTCAAACTTATAAACAATATTTAATAGTTTAGGTTTGCAATCACTTTTAGATTCTTCTGTAAGAATTTTTGCTCCTGATGATTCTTATTTGTAGGCAAACTATAAATCTGGGGAATCAGTAAAGTTTGTAATTAATTTTTTTAAAATAATTGTAAATTATAAAATATTTAGAAAGAATTTTAAAAAGGTAAAAAATTTTACTATAAAAAGGAAATGCTGATGAATTACAATTTTCTTTTTCACATATCATTTCACATTTCACAAAGGCATAGTATATAATAGTAAGTATTTTTTTTTTTTAATTTTATTTTTAGTTGCCCCAAGAAGACCTAACGGTCTTGTCACAAAGCATCGCGAAAGTGCATTTAACCAGGAAGTTCACGCCTCCTTCCTTATCGTGACACAAAAATATGTCCAGAGCTCATTTCGAATCTAGATCTCCTGCTTATAAAGCAAACACTCTAACCTTTGAGCCACGGCCACGCACTTTGAGTGTTGCATCTTGCAGATCTTATAATTTTACTTCAAACTGAATGATTCTGACTTTTTCTAAGATATCTCACTTTTTGGGGTGACCATATTCATTTCAGGGTTAGGTTAACAAATTAATTTTGAACAGAGAACTTGTTTTAAAAGTTAACTTTAAAAAGTTGAGTAAATAAATTTATGTTGATGTTTTGATGTAGAGCCAAATAAGAATTAATTTTGATCATAAAATCAGGTTCTGCAATGCTTTTCACAATGGTCTATATAATGGATGCAATTTATATTTTATTTAGTAAATGTGATGCTCACGTTTTTCAATTTTAAATTTATTTTGTTTCTAGCCTACCATTAAGCTAAGATAAAAATTTAACTTTTTTTTCACCATATTATATGTGGTGTTCCTAAATAATCATTACTTATGAAATTGAAATTTCCAATTTAAAAGTAACAAAACAAAAAAAGTCCACAAAAAAAATGTTTGATATTTAAAGTTGCATTAACCCAAAAAAATCAGACTGATTCAGTCCTTGTTTTGAAGAATTATGTGGTGCAAGGTTTACGTTGTGAACTTGGTGCTTGTTTCCTTAATTTTACATGAAGCTAAATTAATAATTAATAATTGTTTAAAAATAATTTTGTAATCTTTTTTTGATTTTTATAATAATTCAAGTAAAACAATGTTTTTATTAAATAAAAGATTTACTCGCTACTTTTTTATTCAATATTTATTATCTATGAAACATTTTTTGATTACACAGCGTTCAGTAACTACTAATATAAAATTAAACTCTTTTATAAGTTATTTTAAAAAATCTCAATTCATTTTTGATTTCAATTTAGCAGTTATATAAGTTTTGATTTAGTGTTTATGTTGGCTCAGCAGTTGATTTTAAAATATTAATTTTAAAATCTAGCTATTTTTTCTTGAAAAATCGCATTTTACTTTTTGTTCTATATCATAACAAAGTAAACGCTTTTTTGTTTAATACATTTTTACAGCATTTAAAAATTTAAAATTGATGCATTGTGGGCCTCTTATATATGTGTCAGTGTTGGTTGAAATAATTGTACATAGCCTCTGTTGTTTGCTCACTGTAAACTCCTAATGGTGCTTTTTTTTTTAATGCAACACTTCCAGATGGCTTTGTCACTTTTAATGCAACACTTCCAGATGGCTTTGTCAAAAATGAATCTTTGAACATGTCAATTTTTCTTGAAAATTTGCCAGTAAGAGTTGATCCAAAGTAAGCTGTGTCAACAGCTTACTTTGGATCAATAGGATGAATGAATGTTGATTTTTTCTCTGTAAGATTTAGCAAACTATTAATGTTCTTCATAAGTTTGTGGCAATCATTTTCAGCTAACTGACCACCATGATAAGAATGGGGTTTTATGTGTAAAATCTTAAGCAACTCATCTGTATGCAGTCATATTGCTTATAAGATATTGAAAAGATGATTGAAAACTCCTAGCAATAAATGCAATTCTATGGGTAGAATGAGATCCAAAGCCAGGCGCTCATCACTTAGAACAGGTATAGGAGGTTGAACATAGCTAAATCAAGTAATCTGGCTAAATCAAGAAGACATCTTTCAAATGAACAAAGTCTTTCTGATATAGCCAGATTACCAAGTGCATCACACCAAGTGCAGGGATGTGATAATTAGCGAGAATAGAGTTCACAGAATGTTGGCCAACTTCAAGTCACAAAACCATTGATATGGTAAACCATGATAAAACCATTGGGATTTGGATTGATCAGTAAAAGAACTTTTTGGACATTTTAATAGGTTTTAGGCAAATCCTCTGCTATGACTGACTGATGATTGCAAACACAGTATCTGGATGTATTCATTGTCAAGTTTTTCTTTATTGGAAGAGAACTGCTGTCATCTTGACAGAAATCCTGCACCACCATTAAATCCGACTTTGATCAAAAGACTGCTATAGGAGTTATATTGATTTTGTAATACAATGTTGTTATAGTAACTTTTCATATGTTCATAAATATTGATTGCATCTCTTTTTTAATTTTTTTATGTTGCCTTGGTAACACTGTCTTTCTTCCTCCCTCTAAATGAGAATCAATAAAGGAAGCAGTAATGAAACTTATGTAATTACTGAGCTCTGATTCCTACAATCAAAGCAAAAATAAGTGATAGCAAATGTAAGTTCTGTTCTTATGCCAAAGTTTGAGCGAACCCTACTAGATAATGATTTTAAAAGAGTGTTTAGTGTCTCTAACATGACTTTTGTTAATTAAAAATTTAATTGTAGTGTGAGATTAAACACTTTGCTAATAAAGTTAAATATTTTTTAAAAAGTTGTAAATTTCACAAATTATTACAACAAATTAGGTTTTATTGAATTTATGTTAGTAAATTGTTTAATAATCATCTTTTTTATGTTAGTTGATTGTTTAATAATTTTCTTTTTTATGTTTTTGAAATCACTTTGAAATACTCAACTTCTCAATCAGTAAAATACTCAACTTCTCAATCACTTTAAAATACTCAACTTCTCAATCACTTTAAAATACTCAACTTCTCGATTAGTAAAATACTTAACTTCTCAATCAGTAAAATACTCAACTTCTCGATCACTTTAAAATACTCAACTTCTCAATCACTTTAAAATACTCAACTTCTCAATCAGTAAAATACTCAACTTCTCAAACACTTTAAAATACTCAATTTCTCAATCACATTAAAATACTCAACTTCTCAATCACTTTAAAATACTCAACTTCTCAATCAGTAAAATACTCAACTTCTCAATCAGTAAAATAAGATAGTCATCATTTGAATCTGTGAAACAGTTGTAAAATGTTACATGCAGTTGTGAATGCTTCAAAATTAAAAATGACCAGTCTTCCTAGTTCACCTTGCACATACAAAAACAAAAATTATTTGTTTAATATTTTTTAATACACTGATACAAACATTTACTAAATTTTATATTGACAGAATATTACGAAACTCTTATTTAAAATAGATAATTTGCTGTAAATAATGTAAATGAAATGCTGTAATATATATATATATATATATATATATATATATATATATATATATATATATATATATATATATATATATATATATATATATATATATTTATATATATATATATATATATATATTTATATATATATATATATATATATATATATATATATATATATATATATATATATATATATATATATATATATATATATATATATATATATATATATATATATATATATATATATATATATATATATATAGTTAAAATATTGCACAGATGTTTACTACTTATGTATACTATTGGGTTGGCTAAAAGATAATTAGTATTTTAAAAAAAATACGTATTTAATTTAAAATTCAAAAATTAATCTACAGCAATAAATGCACCATCACTGTTTATGACATGCTTAGGTAAATGTTGTTGGCATAGAACTTGTTTGTCTCTGAGTCTGAGTGCCTCATCTTTTTTGAAACTTTCCTTGTGCAAGTTGTTGCTTTGTGACAAACAATAATCTGTTGGCATTAGGCTAAGCATGTAGGGCAAATGAGGCAACACTTTTCAGCTAAATTCCAACAAATTTTGCAGTATTGGTTTACAATGTGATGCCTGTCCTCATTGTCATAGAGAAAGTAAACTTTGTCATCCCCTGGGTGTTTTTTTAAAGAAGCTTATTGAGCATATTAAGTTGTTGCTGTAATAGTGGTGTTCAGCAGAAATAGTTCCCAGTACATAATGTACATAATATCCTGAATGTCTCACCAAACAGAAAAAAACACTTTTTTTTTTTTTTTTTTTTTTGAGTTGGTTGTTTCAAGCTTGGAAGCTTGGCTTTACAAATTTGCTTGTTAGCAACATCCGTTTAATCTTGTATTGTTTTTGGTTAGCTATTTTAAGCACTTCAAATCAGATTCCATTGGTTTTTCATATTTGGGTCAATCTTACCACATTGAGTTGTTATTATGAAAGTTTGGAAAGCAAAACTTTGCTTTTCTAAACCATTAGCTAACACTAAGCCATGACCTTATATATTCATTTTACACTAACCATTTTGCTGATACTTAAGCATGACCTATATATTAATTTGGCTTGCATATATTGTATTTGGCTTTGGCTGCTGAAATTTTAATTTTCTTAATAGACTGTTTTATCTCCTATATATATTCAAATTATGGAAACTTCCTGAAGTGTTCAGAGGTTTCTAGGAATTTTAATAAAAATTTCTCATTATGTTTTAGCCAACCCATAAAAAAAGATTTTTTAATCTTAGTTAATAATAGTTGCATCAAATTGATTAATATTTAATATAATTAACATTCATTTTATAGATTGCAGCACAAATTTGTCGCCAAGCTGGTTTGGTTAAACATGGTAAAGGAACAATGGACTACTCTGATGATAACTTTGCAATTGTCTTTGCTGCTATGGGTGTAAGTTTTTTTTATGTTTGTGTGTAACTTTTTTTTATGTTTGATCCATTTTTTTATCCTCATAGACCTATTAAATTTAAATATTAAATGTCAGCACTAATTCTTAGTTTTAACTTGACTTAATGTATCTTATGTTTCCTCCAATGCAGTGTGAGATTGTAGGTTGTATATTTAGCAAATATATTTTTACCTTTATAGATTATATTTTGTTGCATAAATTTTAGGTAAACATGGAAACTGCCCGATTTTTTAAGCGTGATTTTGAAGAAAATGGATCTATGGAAAATGTGTGTTTGTTTTTGAACTTAGCTAATGATCCAACGTGAGTTGTTTTTTATGTTGTTATTTTTTTACTATTCCTTGTTTTTAAAAAAATTTAAATTTAAGGCTGAAAAAAAGTTTCCTTTTCAATGCAGCTGTAATTTATGTTTTCCACACCTTTAATTAACAAAACAAAATTTAAAACTGTAATGTATAAAGATTTGACACAAATATAACTTTTGAAGATATTTTCTAGAAATTTCCTGAATGTTACTGAACTTTTTATAATATTCTGGAACCCTCCAGAATGATTTGGTACTTTTCAAAAAATTTTAAAACCTTCTTAAACCATTGCATTCCTGGACATTTTGAGTTCATTAATAGCTTATGAAGCGGTGGATGAAACAAAAATCATATATGACAGAGACATAGCACTAAATAAGTATTTTAAAAGGAAAACTTCAAGTGAAATAGCTAAGCAAGAAGCTCTGCTGCTTTCCATAGCTAATGTTGTGGAAAGAATTCAAAATGATTGCTGTCGTGCAGCCTCAAATAGGGAATATATTGACTTCTTACTTGATCAAAAACCAACTAGAAAGATGGGTTTAGAGAAACAGAAAAGATTTATTTTGTACTCTACTGAAAAATCACCAGTTTCAAAACTCAATAGTTTCAAAAAGAAAGTAAAGTAAAAAGTTTGACAATCAAACTGCAGAAGAAAACAATTTTAAAATGGTTTCATTTATCTCAAATTATTTTTAATAACCTTTAGATAATAAGAGCAAATTGTTTACAAACAATCAAGCAAAAGTTTACAAACAATCAAGCAAAAGTTTACAAACAATCAAGCAAAAGTTTACAAACAATCAAGCAAAAGTTTACAAACAATCAAGCAAAAGTTTACAAACAATCAAGCAAAAGTTTACAAACAATCAAGCAATTTACATATGGATAAAACTGCCACAAACACTAAATGTACTACCATTGCCTTTGAAAATCACTTTGATAGACTTTACCTTGCTTGCATACATCATTTTCATAAGATCATTTTTTAAAGATTCTTATAAGATCAGGCTTTTTAATAAAAAACAGTTTGAACTTGGGTCTAAAAAAAAAACAAAATGTTATTAAAGTTTTTTATATTAATATAAAAATTTAATAAAAATTTTTTTTTTTAAACATAATAATATTTTTCTTCTTATATTTATCTAATTCAAATTTGAAGTACAATTAACAAGCCTTTCCGGTAGATTTTTTAGACAAACTGAACAGAAGTTGGCATCTTTTAACATTTTTAGACAAACCACAGAAGTTGGCATCTTTTAACTGATAAAGCGTTTCAATAATTCGCGGCAAAAAGCCGCGAATTTAAAAAATTGTAAAGACATAACAAGTTAATTAAATAAACTAGAAAATTTAATAATTAAAAAAAGTAAATTGAAAAAAAATAAATTTTATAAAATTTTTATACAATTTTTGTATTCTTTGAGTTGTTTTGAAAAAACATCTTTTATAACGATTTAACAACAATCGAAAGTTTTGATATGCAATTTGTTCAGGATATTTATCAGTCCATTTAATTAAGAAACTAATTTGCTATTTACGCTAGAACTATGAAAAATTTTTCTGTTTATTCATTTTGTATGTCTTTTTGCTTTTAAAAATGTTTTTGCTATATTTGACATTTTTTTTCTTAATACTTATATAATAGAAAAATAAGAAAATAAATTGTTTTTTATTTGTAAAATATATTTGATTAATAAATTTTGTGACGGAATAAGTTAGATAAAAGATTAACATGGTTTCTTTAATAAATGTATTTACCACATTTGATGCATGTCTGAGATTGTTTCTTTTATACTGCCTAATTTCCAACGTTAATACAAATTACTTGAGATAGTGAACATAACGATTGCTCTGTTTTAAAAAATGTATTTAAAAACTTAAAGTTAAAAGCAGTAAAGTTTAGCAAAAACATTTGAATAAAAAATTGAAAAATTGTCCATGTTTCTAGCACAAATTATAAAGTATTTCCTTAATATACTGACTGAAAAAAGTTGCCAAAAATTGTATATCAAAAAATATTTTATTTTTGTTATATTCTTATCTACTTTTTTCCTCGACTTGTATCAATTTTGTTAGTGGAAAATAACAAACGCCTTGAAAATAAGAACAAAAACAGTAAAATATTTAGGTATATTCAATTTTTAGCTTATGTAAGTTTTCTATTTTGTATAGTCTTTTGTTCTTTTCTTTGATTATTGCTTTTTTATTCTCTCTAGTTTCTTATAGCTTTAATTTTTTTACAAATTCTTAAAACGCTTACTTTATAAAAATGTGGTAATGTTGTCTAAAAAAATTACTTTAAGCATGGACAAACAAGGTGTGCAACTGCATGTGCTTACCAGGAAGGCTTAATTAATGCTAATTAATTCATAGGATTTTTTTCTTTTTTATTATAGAATTGAAAGAATAATCACTCCAAGATTAGCTCTGACAACTGCGGAGTATCTTGCTTATCAATGTGAGAAACATGTGCTTGTTATTTTAACAGATATGAGCTCATATGCTGAAGCATTGAGAGAGGTACAATGCTTTTATCTTTTAATTTAATAAAAGATATCTAAGTACTAATAATATAAAATGTTTCTTATTTATTTTTATTTATAATTTGTTTCAGATATTATCTAAAATTTATATTAACTAATAAAATAAGAGTGTTTATAGTAGTTTATTTTTCATCATTAAAAACAACTATAGGTCTCTGCCGCTCGTGAAGAAGTACCTGGTCGCCGTGGTTTCCCTGGTTATATGTACACAGATTTAGCAACCATATATGAGGTTAGGACTCTTTTAAAATTAAATAATCTTTTTTTGCTATAAAATTTTATGTGATGTGTTTTTTCAAATGTTAAAAAAAGATTACGTTTTGTTTATCTTAGAGAGCTGGTCGTGTTGAAGGCAGGAATGGTTCTATTACTCAAATTCCAATTCTTACTATGCCCAATGATGGTAATTTAAATAATAACTTTATAATTATTATCATTATAATTATTTTTTTATAAGTTAAATGTTTTTTACTTTTTGCTTTTTGTACTATATCAGGGTGACCGCGCCTGCTAATGAATCCTAAAATATTGTAATATTTAAAAAACCTCTAAAATGACCTGAATTCTCCTAAAATATACTTGAATTTCAAAAATACTCCTAAAATCTCCTAATTTAAACTTGATATTTAAACTTTAAGTTTTTTTTTCAAAGATTCAACTTAAATTTTCAATTTTTTTATTAAAATTTTTAACTAATATTAAAATTACAGAAATTTTTTTTTTTTTTTTAATTGTTCTAAATAATCTTAATTTTTTTTATTCGTTTTTCCAATTTACCCAGTAAAATCTTTAAAAATCTCTTGAGTTCTTTTAATTTTTTAACTCAAAAAAAGTGTGGCCACCATGCATATTTTCTTAGTCAGGGTCTTCTAATATTGATTTAATATTCAATTATATAAAATTTTGAAAAGTTTATTAAAACTGACAGCAGCATTTAGGCAGTCCAAAATTAAAAGATTTTTGAATCCTCTCTAATGTAAGCTTTCAAGTTCTTAACCAATATGGAGGCAGAACAAAGTGCTTCTTTTGCATATAGATGATCAATGCAATGTCTATGGCATTGCAGAAACATGTCTTCTAATAATAAGTATTGTCCACTTTCTTGTTCTTGTCTAACATGGCATACTTTATCCTTGACATCACAATAAAAATTAAACGTCATAACAAAAATATAATACAAACAAATTAAAATAACAAAAAGTAGATACACTAGATATTACAAGCAATGTGTCAAATATTCTTCTATGAGGAGAATATATTTTATACTGCAAATTTTACCTCAACAAAAAAGTTGTTTTCAAAAAATGTTAATTATAATTGCTTGGGATATGTCTTTAAGTTATGTTAGGTTTTAAAATATAAACAATCAAATTAAGCAAAATGTTTAGACCATAGAAAAGTAATTTTACATAACATTTTTGTGTTTTTAATATAAAATGTCTTATTCCTAATTTAAATTTTGTGTTTATATTAAGATAAGTAGAATGCTTTTTAATACCAATCTAATACAATTAATATCAATCCTGATTCAACTTTTTTATTTTTATTTTAGATACAACTTTTTATTTTAGATATAACACATCCTATTCCTGATTTAACTGGATATATTACTGAGGGGCAAATTTATGTTGATCGTCAACTGCATAACAGACAGGCATGTCAATGTTTCTTTGCTTCTTATAACATGGTATTAGAGGGTTTTTATTATTAATATTATTATTTTATATTATAGATTTACCCTCCAATTAATGTGCTTCCATCTTTGTCACGTCTAATGAAATCTGCTATCGGAGAAGGCATGACTCGTGTGGACCACTCAGATGTTTCCAATCAACTTTATGCTAATTATGCTATTGGTAAAGACGTTCAAGCTATGAAAGCTGTAGTGGGGGAGGAGGCTCTTTCTTCTGATGATTTGCTTTATTTAGAGTTTTTGCAGAAATTTGAAAAGAATTTCATATCTCAAGGTATAAGATTTTCTTTTTTTTTATAATTATTATCTTTTAATTTTTTTATTTATTTCTTCATTATATTTATATTTATTTTTTGTGTATAACGCAGAAAAACTGATTGCACTTAGAGTCTAGTATTTTGTACAGAGAAAAATGTTTAGTTAATACATTAGGAGCATTTATATCAAGGAAGAGTGGTTTAGAGTGAGAAAGTCAATGTTTAAAGTTTATTAATTATCAACATGTTTTTATACAACAAATTTTGGGGAATCATTACTTAAGTACTCATTTTGCACTACTCTTTTTTTTTACGTGTATTTTCTAAAATGTTGTTTAATGTTATAAATCTTGCACTATCTTGCATACAAGGTATTTTAAGACATTACACAGTGGGCCAGAATATAAAAAAATTAGCAAAAGTAGAAAACGTCTAAATATAATCATATTATAGATCTAATCATATGTTTTTGGGGTAAGGGAATCCATTTCTGACATCAAAATTAGGTTTTGACCACTCTAAACCACAAGCTGTTTAGTTTTTTTGGTTTTGCAGATTTGACACTTTCAGATGTTGTGCAAACTCCAAATTTAAGTATGTTTATGGTTATGCCAAATAATAACCATTTGCAAAAAGTTCCAGTGATTGAAACAAAAATACGGAAAAAAGTTATTATCCTCACCCCAAAAATGAGGGCAATGAATTACTGGTTAAGTTTTTGTTACAATTTTATTCTAAATTTAACTAAAGTAGCAGGCTTTAAATTTCACGGAATAATCTTTCAGAGATAAAAAGTTATGACTATGTAAAATTTACAACACCCTTACTTTGAGGAGGTTTGAAAATTTGATTACTCATAACTTTCAAAATCTAAAATATTATTCCATGAAATTTAAAACATGCAAACTTAGTCAAATTTAGTATAATATTATTAACAAATTTATTCATTTACTCATTGCCCTCACTGTAGGGGTAAGGGGAATAACATTTTTGTTTGTTTGTTTTGTTTATTTTTGTTTCAAGGCTCCAATCACCAGATTTTTTTGCAAAAGCTTATTATTTGACGTAACCATAAACATACTTAAATTTGGTCTATAAATAAAACGTCTGCAGTATCAAATCTGTAACAACAACAAAAATCCAATTCGCACTATTGGAACTATATTGTTTTTATAGGTCAAATTACATTTAATTAGCATACCATATACAAAAATAAATATGTTTTGAATTGTGAAATCATAAAAACAAAACAAGTTCATACAAGTTACAAGTTTTCTACAAGTAGAAGTTTAACTTGATGTCTGTATACAAGTTTTAATACTTTAGATTTTAAAAGAATTTGAATAATTATTATACAGTCTTTCTCACAAAGAGTGGTTGGCAGTCTCTGAAATCTAAAATATAATGAGGATGCATAATTTTATACTACTTTCAATCCATTTATGTTGAAGAAAACTGTAAACATTTAAATATTGATATAATAAAGATAACATTCAAATATTGGCATTGACAGCGTTACATTTGCATATGTATATAATGATCATTTAGTTTAATATGAAGACATTAAACTAAATGATCATTATATACATATATCATTATTAATTAACCGGATTATCTGGTGGATCTGAAGGTTGAATATTTCTCTACAGGCTTGTCATTGCCATCTAACCAGTTTTGATACTTAGCCTCAAACCGTGTTTTAGTTCTTTTTTTCTCCTTCCATTTCCTCCTAAGATCGTTCTTAAATCCCTTTTATTCTCATCCGATATAGTCAAACTCTTCAAAATAATGTCAGCCTCAATATCTACTATACTGTTAATCTTCTTTTCCCACTTGGTCTCTAAAAGTTTATAATACAAATCTCGCCACTTCATCATGTTAAAACTGTCATTTAGTTTTTCAATTTTAATTTTTAAAAGTGGGTTTTGTAGTTTCTTTATTTTGACCTCAAACCGTTACAGCGTGCCGTAACGGTTTGTGGTCGATGCTGCAAGGACTTGTCGTCAATTAAAATTAATTGATCAACGTGTTGGAGCGGGTGTTTATTATTTGTTTAATTACTAAAATCAATGACTTAAATAAAAAATTTTAAGCAAATTACATATATACTTTTGTAAATTTAATTTTTTTTTGTTAAATTTGAAAAATTTGTTCAAGTCAACCTTTGACAACATGAAGCAAATGGGGCGAGGAGGGCAAGTGGGGCAGAAAATCTTTCTATGAAGTGTTAGTTAAAGTAATAAAGTATGTACTTAAATTAATTTCATTATAACGTATTAATGTGTGGTAAATCTATTACCGCAAATTTTTTTTATACGAAAAATCGTAAAAATTATGTTCTATTGTTGTAAAAAAACCTAAAAATTAAAATCTCTGTTTTTTTAAATAATTGTAATATTATAGGTAAATATGTATAAATATTTTCAAATTCCATAAGGATAGATTATTTCTAAATGTCACAGATGTATTGCCCGTATTTATGTTTTTCACGTTTTTCGCACATATTTTAACAACTTTTTGACTTTGAAACATCCTAAAGAGTTTACAAAATTGATCAAGTGCATCATAAAATAAACATTCATTGCGGTTAACATTTGTATGTTAATTGCAAATTATTTAAAAAGTCAGTATACGACCTTTCGTTTTGACCTTTTTGCTAAACTCTGGCCCACTCTGCGTTAATACAAGTTTTATTCAAAGCTTTTTTTAAATAAATAGCTTTAAAATATTAATATTTTTTTAGAATTACTGCCCTTTAACTTGCTTTCGTATTTAAAAGTGTTATTGAAATATTAAAAATTAAAAAATACTTTTTTAACTCTAAACGATTACCACACAGATATCAAGACCTATACCAAACTATATAGACTAATATAAATTATTTCATCTTTTACGCAAGAAAACCACAAAAAAGATTAAATATATAAACTTTTGACTAGATGTCTTTTTTTTTTAATTCTGTCATAATATTTGTTTAGTTTTCACGGTTTTCTTAAGCTAATTTAAAAAAAAAATGTTCAAATCCTTGAGCTATATGTCACCTAAAAAATCTAAACATAAATAATGTAAAAATTTAGTTTGCGTATACGGCAAAATTAAATAATGATCATAATTATTATTACCATCATGATGATGTTGATAATCATCATCAGGCTTTTGCCTTCCTCTTTTATGCTGTTTCTCTAATATAAGCAATCTTGAGCAATTTTTTTTCCTTACCTAAAGCTCATTCATATAATATGTAAGGCACTCTCCTCAAGTTTTTTTACTTCTACCACTACCATTTTCTACTGAAGCTGCTATCTACATGCTGATAGCTGATGCTGATCTCTCTACATGCTAACAGCTAAATCAATTTAATCTTTTCTAACAAATGTTGTTTGATACAACGTTTTTCCTAATCTGTCTAAGTTTATGCCTCCTTTTCTTATCTTGAGTCACACCACACATCCATCTGATCATCTTCACTTTCGGCAAATACTGCACCATAAAAATACTAAAGTTTATATAACAATGAAAAGATATTGTATGCCAGCATCTAAATGAATAGCAAACATGTTTATATCAATAATATGTATGCATAAATCTTGGAAGTTCTTATTTCTTCTGGAATAAAAGTTTGGATGCTTTTATTTTTTCTTTTCAATTTTAATTCAAGCCTCATTCCACTTCCACATTTTTCACCATCTTGAGCAGTTGCTTTATTAAACATTAATCATTTTTTTCATATTTTTTACAAGAACATCTCTCTTAAGAACAAATGTTCTTTTATTATTGCTCTGTAAAAAGGTCATTTTAGTATATCACATATTGCATTTTTACAAAGATATTTTTTTTGACGTCAAAGTTTTTTTTTACAAATAAGTTATTATTTAAACAAAGCTTTCAAATCAATTAAATATTAATTTAAAAATTTTTCATAAATTTTTTTTTAGTCATGGCTATCAACCCCTGCTGAATCTTATAATTTTGCCGCGGCCATGTTTGCAAAAAGTCTCATTTTAAGCCGGGGCCCCGGTCACTTACACATTTTCGTAAGTGAATACACAGTTGGTCACAAATGTCATCATCTACTAAATTAAAAACATTTAATCGTATTGCTTATTTACCAATTTAATCGCACAGGACTGAAATGATATACTACTTTTAGCATAACATTTGCTTTCAAGTCATATATAGATTTGAAAACAAACGTCAGGTTAAAATATATGGATTCAATAATAAGTTTTTTCAGAACACCAAATATAAAATGACACTTTGAAAAAGGCGACTTTAATGTTTTTTTACTTTCTTTTTATTTTGTTTAGTTTTATTTTTATTATGAAAGTTATTGGCTACTTATTTTAAAATTTTAAAAATTTATATAGATAAATTAGTATCCGCATTAATAGAACGCTGAATGCATTAAGACTTAGTTGTAACTTAGTATAATTTGTACTTAAATATTATTGAATAAAAATTGTATTTATAGGGAGCTATGAAAACCGCACGGTATTTGAATCCTTGGATATTGGGTGGAAGCTTTTGCGTATATTTCCTAAAGAGATGTTAAAACGTATTCCTGCTAAAATTCTCTCTGAGTATTACCAACGAGATGCAAAATCGTAATTGTTAAAATTTTTAGTAGCTTTGATTTTTTTGAATATTTAAGTATTTCTCATAGTTTTACAAATAAATTATACTAAATTTTTGTAATGAATACCGGATTGTAACGAATACCGATTATGCTAATCGTAACTATTTTTTTACTTTTTTGAGTTTTATAATATGCTTATGCTCCCTCAGTAGAGTACGTTTTGGTGACGTCAAATTGAATATCAAACCATTTGCGTCTTACTGTTTCTGTGCAAATATCGATCCCATAATGCCTTACTTATTGAAAATGTTATTATAATATTGAATTATTATAATTCTGAAAATAGACTTCAATAATAATAATAATAATAGAAATTTTTCTCTTAAAGGATGCTTACTTTTCATCTGAATTACAAATCTTATTTATATCTAACCTTAACCTAAATACCTAACTAAAGTCTAAATAATAAAGTGTTTTTACGCATCATTAACAATTTATCACAAACCATAGATGGTTTACACGTGGCGGCAGCCATAATCAGGTAATGATTGTAGATGATCAAAAAAAGTTTATTTTTAGACTTTCGATAATTTAATTTTTAAAAAGCTATACTAGATCTTGGTTTATTAGACAAATCAATGTATGAACAATTTTGTATTGAAACTTAGCATCAAAATATATCAAAAGGTCTATTTAATTGACTTTAATTTAAGGGTTGGAAGCTACATAAAGCGCGGCGAGACATTTTCGTAAGTGAATACACAGTTGGTCACAAATGTCATCATCTACTAAATTAAAAACATTTTTACGTTGCTTCTTTAATTAATTTTTATGTTTACGTCCAGTAACTGTTTCATAATATAAAAGAATTCAAATTCTATGAACACTAGAGAAAAAAACAAGAACACAAAATCTAGCGTACTTTGCGATCTTTTTCATGTGTCAAATAGTTCATATTTTAAGTCTTTAAAATAACACTGGTCAAATATGCGGTAGTGGTGTAGTGGCAAAACACTTGAGAGGTTCCGAGTTCAATTCCCACCACGTCCCTGGTAGTACCGCGCTCAACTTGTTTCTCCGCGCAGCGGCCTTGTTCGTCAAGGTTCGTGTTTCGGAGTTATAGAGTTGAGAGAGTGTTATAACCACTATTAAGAAGCCTCCTCGTCTGTAGTGGCCTTCTCGGCCTTGTGGAAGTGAATAACAACAACAACAAAAAAAGTACAAACCCCCTGAGGTAAATAATAATTTCGACCTGCTGATTGCAAAACTAAAATCAGATAATTCTAAACGTGTCAAAGAAAAATAATTTTCAAAATCCCAAAAAAATAACGGCAATCGCGTACCGTTTAATCTTTAGTACGTTGTAACATTGAAAACGCAAGAAAGTATGATAATGTCAATAAGGACTGTTAAATGTCTAGACATTTAACAGTCCTTATTGAGGTCTTATACAAGGTATTTTTTCAGTAGCCATCACTTTCCCTACATAAATCTCTTATTATGGTTAGATCGATCTGGCTTCTATGACCAAAATGTTGATGAAATCTTTCCCCTTGTTTGTCACTTACTGCATCTAGGTTTGGAGGAAAACGTCCAGATGTGAGTGCAGAAAATACATCCTGAGTGACATTCTACAACCCATTCTTCCTAAGAATTCTATCATTTGTTCAAGCATATCAACGTATTAGATCCATTTTTTCCAAGAAAACTTTCAATGACAGAAACAAAGACATTTCGTGCCTGCAACTTTAGTTGCAGTTAAACGCAAGCTCGACTTTTTTTTTTTATTGCGATTCATTTCAAAAAAAACTATATTGAATATTTTTAGTAATCTGAAAGAAAAAACACAACATTAGATACATATAAACAAGGAAAATTAAAAGAAAAACTGAACGTGTCAGAATAATTTTGTAATCTGCTTAACAAGGTTTGTTTATATCAACAAAAAATCTACAGGAAAAAAAAATTATTATGTTGATAATTGTAATTTTTTTTTAATTGTAATTTTAAATAAAAACTTAAAAAAAATCTCGCCGAAATCCTTTTTATCACAAAATTTATTATAAGATATTGATAGTTTTAGATTCATGATCAAATACTTGAATATTTCGACACAAAAAAACGTACCTAGCAAATAAATTTTACTTTTTGACTATTATCAATCATAATGTCATTAATTTTTTATTTATAAATAAATTAATAATGCAAATACACACAAAGACAATAGCATGAAAAAAAAAAATTAAAAAAATGTTCCTTACCTTGAGCCCTTACACTGAGCCCTTTCTCTCTCTCTTTTTTTTTTTAAATTACCATTCTATCACAAGTGCAAAATTAATTTTTTTTTAAAAAAAAGAAAAAAAGAAAAAGCAACAAACAAAACTGCATACCAGTTTTAAAAAAATAAAAAATTTAAAAGTTCAATTTAACTAGTCAACATCAACATACTTAAAATGATTTATAGTTTCGTACCGAAAATTAAACAGCACGTTATCATATTTCGCAAGTTGTAAGTTATCATATTTTTTAACTCGGTAGTTCTCTGTGATTACAAGCATATAATTTTTCCAGTCCGCAACCTAATAAACTTGTTTAGTTATTTAAAATATAAAAAAGATAAACAATTGATATATAAATTAGAGTCGAATGAGAAAATATCTTACCTGTTGTTATATTTAATTTTTTTAAATTAAACTTTACATGATAATTTGATATTTTAAAGAGTAACTGTATACTTTCATCCAAGTTCATCTGTACACTTTTGTCCAAGATCGTCTACATCTGGGAATATTTCTCCAAGTTCAATAACATCAGGAACAATTTCCTTCAGATATAATATGTAACTGCATCTGGGTTTTTTTGTTTTGTTTTGAGGAAACTACCCAAGTAGCAAACAATATTGGCGCAATATTGGGGCGATATTGTTTACATTATTGGCGCAATATTATAAACTATATCGGGCCAATATTGCAATGTGAACATTTTGCAAATATTGGCCAATATTGGCGCTACAATATTGCGCCAATATTGTAAAGTCAATATTGGCCAATATTGGCAAAATGTTCACATTGCAATATTGGCGCGATTATGCTTCAAATATTGCGCTAATATTGTAAATAATATCGCGCCAATAATGGGGATATAATACTAGCCAATATTGGCGTAATATAGTTTACAATATTATCCTGATAAATATAATATATATAACTATATTAAGGCAATATATTGAGTATTTTCGATTAAATTTTTATTATTAAAAAATAATATTGCCTCCTATAAATTTTTGCCTCCTATAAATTTTTAATAGTTAAAATTTATAAGAGTTTTCTTGTTTAAACGATACTATAGCACTAGGCTGCATTATTTTTTTTTTTTATTTTTTTTTTTTTTAGAAACCAAATTTAAGTTTTAACCAACAGAAATCCAAATTTTTGAGTTTTCCGTCAAAAACCGACAGAATATGGAGGGGTGTCGACCCCCACACCCCCTCGGTACGACCCTGGTTATAGTCTAGGAGATAACAATGATCATAGAACACGCTTTAAGAAAAGAAAAAAAAGGAAATCATTAAATTTATTTGAAGTTATATGATACAGATACAAATGAAAAAGTAAGGTATAGAGTTTTCTAAAACCAAAATATAACAAAATAAATTCAATGCTATTTAAATACAGGCACAAAAAATATGTACATATACATTTATAAACTATTGTATTAAACTCTCACTACCAGATAGTGGGCATCAACTTTCATTTTTTTTATTATTATAAGCATTATCATATTCGTCATCATGATCGGCTCCATAATGATCATCGTTATCTTTGCTTGAACAAATTAAGCCTCTTCGTTTTTAGGACATAACCTTTCCTATTTCCACCTATACGGAAGGGAGCCATTCTAAGATGGGAACCATTCTAAGATGGGAACCAATTCACGATACCGTTTTGCGGATACCGATGTCATACAACCTCTTTCTTAAAAATAATAAAAATAACTCAATAAACATCTTTATTCTATTATAAGTTTGCAGAAGAAAACTTAAATTATTTGTAGAAAAGTCATTTTTAAATGACCATAAAATCTGAAAAAGACAAGTTATACCATAATTTATAGTTTTATTAGAGCAATATGCATTTGAACTTGATGTGCGCTAATTTTTCTAAAGTTCTGATTAGCAGTTTTTAAGATATGCTATTTAGTTTAATTGCCCGAACCACAGAACCACTATTTCAGACTTACACGAGATGTTTAAAGTAGGTGAAAAATAAATTTTTTGAGGGCAGCTAAAAATTAACTTCTTTATATTATATTTAAGTCATCTGAATCAAAATAACACACTATTTAGTTATACCATGCACTATCCTTCACCAATTAGTAAACTTGGTATTGATGTTCATTTTCACCCCGTTGTTCATAGTCACCCCAGTTCACGGTATATAATAAAAACCTTATTAAAAAAACTTGTAGTTATCGCAGTTATGGGTTGATAACTGATAAGTTGCATAACTGCAGGACAAATACAGTGCCCTTCCTAAACATAGTACTACTTTATTATATAGTATTCTATTACTTTATAACAATATCTGTACAGCATATATATATATATATATATATATATATATATATATATATATATATATATATATATATATATATATATATATATATATATATATATATATATATATATATATATATATATGTATATATATATATATATATATATATATATATATATATACATATATATATATATATATATATATATATATATATATATATATATATATATATATATATATATATATACATATATATATATATATATATATATATATATATATATATATATATATATATATATATATATATATAGTTTGATAACTCCCATTATCCATTGTCTTAAGGAGCAGTAGGCACACTCAGTATCCTGTTTGATTGAAACTTTCTATTCAATTGAAAAGTTGTGGAGATACGTTAGAGAGACAGTTTCACTACAACATAAATAAACATGTAAAAATAAAATTGTAATTCTTAAAATTAAGTCTTAGCTTCCTAATTTCTCTACTTTTACTAACTTTTAGCCTAAGAGTTAACTATAGACGTTCTATAGCGTTGTTAAAAATCAAACAGAAAAAACAATTTAAGAAATAGTTTAAAAAAATGCTGAAA